AAATATAAATAGCATCTGAAAAATAAACAATGAAGACACTGTAAAATGTTTAATGTGACAAAAAAGGCATATAAAATGTTTCGAGTTTTCTTTTTTCTACTTTTCTCTTTTTTAAATAAATCGCTGCTTCTTTAAAAGCGCCCGATGTAAACAAAACGTGTATCTTCTCCTAATAAAATACATAGTAGTTTCGTTTACAAGTTCTCCAAAAACAACTTCTGTAAAGTTTAATGAGCTGATTGTCCTGATATGATGTTGTAACGTGCGCCCAATGAACCTTTAAGAAAAGCGTCCGTTCCGTTCCACCTTAACAGGACTGTTGTGTTTGTCAGAAATATGTCGCTCCGATAGAGACTCTCCCTCCCTTAAAGGGATAGTTCACCCAAAAATGAAAATTCTATCATAATTTACTCACCCTCATGTCGTTCCAACCCTGTATGAGTTGCCAAATGTTTGATTACCAGCAATCTTCAAAATATCTTCTTTTATGTTCAACATAAGAGAGCAACTCATACACGTTTGGAACGACATGAGGGTGAGTAAATGATGACAGAATTTTCATTTTTGGGTGAACTATCCCTTTAAACACACACACACACTCACAGAGTCTGTGTCCTACTGACAGTGAACAGGAAACTCGAGGCTGTCAAAAGATCACACAGAGCCCGTCACTTCACTTATGAGCGCCGTTTACACTATAAATACTGTTTCTGCTGTGCAGGAGGCGCGTTTTTCTGCAAACCCCGCTTTAAAACAAGAAAAATGTCAGTGGACCAGAAATTTGTGAGTCCTTTCCACAGACCGTATCTCTTTGGTTTTGAGACTTTAGTCTTTGCAACTTCAGGGATCTTATCTATGCACAATCAGCTTGTAACACTCCAAAGAGAAAGGAAAACTTGAAATCGCATCATATGACCCCTTTAACACAGTAACATGGAATGCAGACGGTTTGTGAGTGTTTAAATACGTTGTTTACTAGAACATGCAACTGAGTGCACTGGATTACCATGCATTTCATAGATGTCACCGATGTTTGTTAACATTTATTTATTGGACGCTATTTATGTTCAAAGAACATGATCCTGGTCTTCGTTGGAGCAGTGCATTCCAAAGATGTCACTCCCGAAACTTTGCAGGGTGTACTAATGATGTCCGGTTCGTGAACAAATCATTCTTTTGAACCGGTTCTTTTTAGTGAACTGAATGAACCAGTTCACTGAACCGTTCGAAACAATTCAAGGCTCAAGTGAACACTCAGACTCTGTCTATACTGCAGAATGAATTTCTTATTTACATTGTGTTTATAATTTGTTGGTTATACGAGCAAACGACTCGTGCTGGACAAACTGGCGTATTGACCGCTGACTAACTTAACTAAACGCCTCTGTTTGGCCATTGCTCCCACACGCTGTCTGTGATTGGCTAAAATGATCAACGCTGCAAAAACACGTAAATAGAAACCTTTGTTTCTCTTCATAGAGAGCTTGTTGCAACTAGTGATGGGAAGTTCGGATCATTTTACCGACTCGGACCTTTGAGTCTCATTCAGCAAAATGAACGAATCTTTTTTCGAGTCATTTCATTCATTTCGTTCATTTTAGCAAAATATAATTAAAATGTTACGTGTTACTTCCCTAGAAACCCGAAGACTCGAAACAGGTGAACTACTTGACTAATTCCAGTACAGAACATATAGGATGTTGCGCATGCGCGACTGAACGAATCACTCCCCGAGACGACTCGTTCTTCAAAATGAACGAATCGTTCAAGAACGACCCAACACTAGTTGCAACACGCTTGTTGTTGCATTTTTAAAATGAAGGTATCGACTTGGTACCGAAGTACCAGTACATTTGTCAACAGTACTCATTATAATGTAAATACCTGCTCCACCTCTGAAAAAAACGGTCCTTTTGGCTGACGTTTTGATTGTAAAAGACCAGTCATACTAGTACTTCACTATGAACAGATGTCTGTCACTGCTCACGCAAACACTCACGCAAGGCCATTGATTGCATCATATAGAGTTACTTTGTTTGACTTCTAGACGTAAAGCAGGATTAGGTGTGTCATGCAGTTCGCCCTTAGGATCTGACCAAACATTCCTCGCTTCCTTAAAGGTTCTAAAGGTTTTTCTGACGTTTATAAAGTGTTATTTGCTTTTATTTGTTAGAAGCAATCTGGATTTGACCATGACATTTTTCCTAGTACTGAATATATAAGGTAGTTTCATATAAGTCTACTGAAGGGAACTAGTAGTATTAGTGGCCTGAACTTCCTGTTTGAAAGAAATGAATATACTTTTATTCAGCAAGGATGCACTAAATTGATCAAAAATGACAATAATGCTGTTCTTTTGCACTTTCTGTTCATCAAATAATCCTGAACAAAATGTATCATGGTTTCCACAAAGAAATTAAGCAGCACAACTGATTTTAACATTGATAATAATAATAATAATAATAATAATAAATGTTTCTTGAGCAGCAAATCAGCATATTAGAATGATTTCTGAAGGATCATGTGACACTGAAGACTGGAGTAATGATGCTGAAAATTCAGCTTTGACTCACAGGAATAAATTAGATTTTAAAATACAAGAAAATAGACAACAGTTATTTGAAATTCTAATAATATTTCACAGTATTACTGATTGTGTTTTTATCAAATAAATGCAGCCTTGGTACGCATAAATGTTTTAAAACATTTTTTTAAATTACTGACCTCAGACTTTAAATTTTCTAATATTTATATTTATTTTAAAATCTAATATTTGTTATTTATTTGTTTATTCTAAAATATTTGTAAGTGATTTATGTACACATATGTGGACATACATGGTGATTTTGGGATGGTTGTAGCCCCTCGACTCTCCCTCAGGGCAGTTTTTGTGGCTCGGGGAGATCAGCAGGTCAAACAGGTTAGATATCTGACCCTCCTGCACTATATTCTGCTGTTTCACCTGCTATAAGACACATTAGCGCTCGTCAGTTATGTTAAAACCTGTTAAACAGGTATACTGATGTTGTAAAGAAAAAATATATATTAACAAAAAACCCTCAAGTTTCCGGAACGCACCCAGGATTGTTCCAGGAATTATCAATGATGACAAAACATCATTAAAATAAAGATGAGTAGACAATGAACAGGAACAAGAAATTGTAGTTTATGCACCACTGGGGAAACATCGGAAGTCATTTAGAGGAATTACAAATATAAAGCATAGGCACTCATTAGTGGTATATGATCAATTGTTTATGGCCAATTAATGACACAACAACATTAGATTTTTATTTTTGTGTCTTCACATTTCTACCCTCCTTTTTACACTATAAAAGGAGGGTAGTATTTTAATTAGTTGACAAAATTAGCATACTTTGCATTTGACAGGAGTTATATAGAAGGTACAGTATGCATTTTAGTGCATCCTGTAGAAAACAAAAATTGAATTAAATCTAAATTAAAATCAGTTTAGCCATCTGTGAGATTAAATGGAGACTTTTGCTGAAGTTTGAAGCCCTCAGATGTTTCTCCTGAGAAAAAGTATTTTTCATAATATCTCATGTGTCTCCTCTAGAGATCACAGCAGCAATGTTTCCAACTGTGCTCAAATGTGACCAAAGATCTCAATATGAACTCAAACACTGCTCTGCTATCCACAATCATTTTATCGCTCTATAATCTTACAGTATGACAAATGTTTACTCATTCGTGGTTATTTTAGTAGAAACACCTTAGACAAAGTTGATACCTAAATGAAAAATAACTCCATTAACTCTTCTGAGCTATGAAAGAGCAGTAATATTTTCCTCTGGAATGTATACAGCGTATAATAATGTCTGCAGGTTGAATCAGATTCATTTGATCGATCACCTGAAGTGTGTAAATGTGTCCGCAAAGTTGAGATCTGATTAAAGAGCAGGACGTTTGTTTCACAGTCACACCCATCAGAGAGAGCAGGGAAATTGTTTAGTACAATTGTTTAGTGATTTTTTTAGTACATCAAGTTGAACTAAATGAAAATTAGAAAATGAGTTTACATTTATATATATTAGTGCTGTCAAACGATTAATCGCAATTAATTGCATACAAAATAAAAGCTTTTGTTTACATAATATATGTGTGTGTACTGTGTATATTTATTATGTATATATAAATACACACACATACAGTTCAGTATATGTTTTAAAAATATTTACATGTATTTATATGTATATATTTATATTCATATAATTTATATTATATGTAAAAAATGTAACATATAAACATAACCTAATTTTCTTAAAAATATACATGCATGTGTGTGTATTTGTATATACATAATCAATATACACAGTACACACACATATATTATGTAAACAAAAATTTATTTTGGATTATATATATACATATATATATAATGTGTGTGTGTGTGTGTGTGTGTGTGTACTGTATGTATATGTATGTATTATTTCAGTTAACCTCTATTTTATTTCAAGTAACAATTATTTTTCTTAAAGGGGTCATGTGATGCTGCTAAAAATAACATTATTTTGTTTTCTTTGCTTGAACATTTGGGCGGCGTTATGCAAATCTTCCCACATAGTGAGGTAGATATGTGGGGGCGTGTTCGAACGAGCCGTTTTAGGGGGGTGTGGCTAACTCTTAACTTTTATAAAGAATATCTCTTTGGATTTGAGACTTTAGTCTTTGCAACTTTACAGATCTTCTTTATGCACCAAGAGCTTGTAACACTTGTAACACAAGAGAAAGGAAAAAATGAAATCGCATCATATGACCTCTTTAATTTTTAACCGAAATAACCCTGATTTGTGGCTTATATTGTAAATATCACTATTAATAAATTCTCTGTGTTTCGCAGGTGGGATTGCCGGAGGCATTGAAATCTGCATCACGTTTCCTACAGAGTATGTGAAAACTCAGCTTCAGTTAGATGAGAAGGCAAACCCGCCTCGCTACAAAGGCATCGGTGTGTATTTACTCTGACTTCGTGTTATTATCTAAACTAAACACTCAGCAGTGGTTTTCATTCTAATTGCATCTGCCTTGTCCTGAGAGCTTTCCAAACACTTGCGTTTAATCATTGTGCATAAAAACACATGGTTCATCAGCAGAGACAGAGTCCAAGCCGGTTTGAAAGCTCAAAGTACAGTAACCGTTGCACAAGCGTTAGGGTTCAGGTTTATCAGCCGCTGGACTTTGTGGCCCCTTTTCACAACAAGTTTATCAGCACGGATTGTTCAACCCGGTTCATTTATTAGCCAATCGCACGCTTGCAACCAGCAGTGTCACATTTCGACAGTCTGGTCATGTTCTCTTTTGAAATGTTGAATGAATTACTCAGCTGCAGGAGATCAGAACGATTTGAAAAGGAAATTAATGCTTTTAATAATTCATAACCACCCACGTTTCCAAAATATTAGCAATTTAAATGCCTCCGGCTGAGATTAGACTGCGAGTGGCTCTGTTTTGGAGGATGAATAATGATATTGAAGTGGTGTAATTCTTCTGTCCTGTCTCGTCAGTTGACTGTGTGAAGCAGACGGTGCGTGATCATGGGGTGAAGGGTCTGTACCGCGGTCTGAGCTCTCTGGTCTATGGCTCTATTCCCAAAGCGGCGGTGAGGTGAGCGCTTCCTGACCCGCTGGGATAAGCCTTCGACTGTCAGTGTGAAGTCTGACATTATTCCAGCTGAGAGCTGCCCACCGTTTCTAATTGAGCTCTGCTCTACAACATTTCATCGACGAGATGAGTCTTTTTGTAGAGTACTACTTGCTCACTGACATGACATAGCCAGTCCAGCTAGGGTTTTACATTTGCATTTACATTTACATTTGTAAACTATTAAGTCATTTACATCTATTAACTAAAAATATTGGAACCTGACATACAAATTTAAATCAGCTATGTGTATGTGTGTTTGTGTGTGTGTGTGTATATATATATATATATATATATAT